CGATCGCGATAGAGATCGTCTGCGGTAGCGCGAGTTTGGATTATTTCGGTGGGTCCACCTGCGACGGGAAGATTGCCCCTGGTCCACCAAGGATTCACGGATGGCAGAAATTTCCTGCCTCAAGGAAAGAGCCAATTGTGACATCTTAATGTTTAACATGGCCTCGATGCTCGGGCCCGGCGGGGGTATTTGGCAGGATGCAGATACGCCCGTAATCGCGGCCTCCGTGACGTGTACCCGCTGTGTCATCGTATCCGCAACAGCGTCTGCCAACTCTGCCACCTTATCCAGCGGGGTGTCCCGCTGCGTGGCTAAAATCACCTGCATATTAGCAGGTAGTCGGCCCATCCAAAGCGTCCGCAATACACCGTCCGAAAAAGCCGTACCGGCCAATCCGCGCAGGTGACGAAGAAATTGAGACGGTTTTCTGTCCCCGATTTCCTCGTGTTCCAATAACAGCCGCGTTTTCTGTTCCTGCGACGCATTAAGCCGGCGAATAAACTCATTTTTGAGCGTCGTGTACGGACCCGTGGCCGGGGGATTCATGATAATGTCTCTTACTTCCGCGGCGTGTCGCGTACTTAACGCGCCGAGAATGTACCCGAATTTCGTGGTCTCCGACGTTACATTGGATACCTCAAAACTTCTCTCTACCATTGAAAACCACATCTCCGGGTCTCCAGGACAAAACTCGGGTATTCGTACAGCGACGCGATCAACCGCCAACGGCACACTCCCGGATGTCCCTGCGTTAACGTTAGGGTCAGTCATTTTACCAGGCTTGGTCACAAAAAAAAATAGTTTCACCGCACACACACACCGCGCTTACTATTTGTCAGACCGTGTCCTTTTCTTATGTCCTTAACGCTATACACTTATTTATCTACACTAACTAATATTGTCCGTATACAAAAAATGTCCAAATTTTCTTAAAAAAACTTTACTTGCGCGGCGAGATCACGTCGGGGTCACCAATGTGGGATCGGGAAGATAATGACTCCGCTCTGTTCCGTTCCGCACAATTTTATTGTTGCTGTCGTACAACGACGTGACTCGTGGTGCGGGTTACGCTCGACTCTCTGGTACGATCATCGCCACCGTACCAAGAGGCCTTCAAAAACAAAAGACGGTCAGAGACGACGACAACGGCTTTTCGGCTCACGCGGCTCTGGTCGTCTCGTGTGCAACCATCGTCTCGTGTGCAACCATACATTGTAGCGGCTTCGAACGGCTAAGGCGTATGTGGTGCCTTGGCCGCCACACTTGATTATACATTCTGTGAATCAGATTTGAATTTTGGAAATCAAGTGAAAATAGAAGTTACATTATGTTTGAAGGGTTTTGGAAACGAGTTGGGCGGCTCAGTGTGGCCACCTTCACAGCAGGGTGGTTAAGAATCACTGTTCCTAGCCCGGAATGGGCATATCCCTAAATCCCTAAAGACTAATTACGCCGGTTTCCGAGGTTTGCGCGGAACATCAGTAATTTCATGCTTTATGACCATTTTCGTCATGAATGGATAATCCCCTCTAAATTTCTGTCTCCCTCCACCTGCAGATAGAATATCCGTCCGGTCAATTTATGAAATGGAGTTGTACGAGGCGTCAGAATTGAATCGATACATTTTCTGTGTTCCAGTTTCCCATTCTAGTCGAAATTAAATTTTATGCACGAACCTTTTTAATTTAAAAAAAGGATATTAGAATATAGGAGACTAAATTAAACAACAATGAAAATTATTATTTGCATTTAGCAAGTTGACCTTTCTGTTGTGTCCAAATCTCGCAGGCCAACATACGTCCTCAATTGTTTTAGCGACTCCCTAGCAGACTAACCGACCCCATTTACAAAAGGTCACACATCAGATATTAATAATGGCCAAACTTAATTACTACAACAGCGCTGGAAACTGAGGAGTTTATTTAATAATTGTACTGTTCATTCTTAATTCTTTTTTCATAAGTTTTTATTTTATCGAAGAGATTAAAGTTTGGAAAAAATATAACAAGCTCTAAGGAAAAATTCCAGTCCTCGAGAGGAATAATTTGATTATTTTTTTTTACAAAGTTGCTCTACATTAACGTTTATTCGAGTTTTAAATTTCGCTACTGGGTGAAATTTCCCTCGCATATTACGTTCGTATTTAATTCCCCCGTACTGTTCTGAATTAGTCCCTATATTTAAGTTTTCTAGGTAAACACTAATCTTCTTAATGCGACGTAAGATTACTAGCTTAGCGCGACAAAAATCCTCTATGCTGCATTCTCTGTACACGGTATTAATTCTTGGTCATAACCAGAGTAAAAAAAAACAACCAGAAATGTACCTTTCTACTTATTGCAATTTTTGTTTAAATACTTAACATAATAATTTAAATATATTCCGATATTTATGAATCAATTTTGACAGATGAACGTTAACACTTATAAAAAGTTAATACAAAAATAAATTCTGGTATCTTTATTGGTAATTTTAACAGGTAAATGAAATTATTTAAATATGCTCTGATGTATATAAATTAATTTTAACAAATAAACGTAGACACTTATAAACAGCTAATACGAAAAGAAATTCTTCCACTTTATTGCAATTTTATACAGGAGTTTACTGTACTATATTTTAATATTTGAGCATACATAAACTGTATAAGTATCCAAAGTTATAAAGATCTCAAAAATACTTTCTGAAAACAATTTCGCTTCTTCCTTTGCGTTTACTTTAAGTTTCTCAATGTTTCTTAGATGGACAAAATGATCTTGTAGTTATGGATTTATGGATAGATTTATGGAATACTTTCAACGGCGTTTAAGTTAGATTTATGAAATGGAACAATGTTTGCGTTTGTGGAACTCTGATATTAAAGCATAAGAACGTTCGCGTTGATTAAAAGTTCGTCCATTGAAGCTTATCTTTACTTATTTCTCGCTGCTTTGGTACCTCTGAGGCGTTTACATTTCACAGCTGTCACACAGTTTCGTTCTTCTTCTGAAAGAACGAATACCGAACTCATTAAAACTTGCGCGACTCCGAATTTAAATTAGCGGTAGATGAACCGAGAGAATTTCGTAAATGCTTCGCGGTGAAACGACTCGAAGATCCAGCAATTGTCAAATTTTGTATCGTTGCGTGGTAAAATGAAAGGCAGTAATTTAAGCATAGAAACTTTTGTAACTTTGTAACAATTATTAATACGATAATTAAATGATAATGATATTTATTAAAACATCAAAATGTTTTTCAGAAGCTTTTAAATGCTTTTCATTAAAAAAGTTTGGTCCTAACACTGTAAAAAATATATAGTGTGATTTTTCGTGAAAATATCAGCGGAAAATATGAAATAACATTTTTTTGTAGAATGCTAGGTTTACGAAATAATTGCACTTGTAAATTTGTCTGGCGTGTCTGACCAATTATTTACTATTTCTACTTGCAATATGCGTAGCGCCATAATTATTGAAACTCAATTTTCTTGAAAATGAAGCTTCGTATGAAAAAATTTTATTCTTCCTTTTTGACATATCTTTTCATAAAATATCACTGGGCTTAGGGAAATTTTGAAATAATTTGTTATAAAGCAGTAAACATTGAAACATTTGTATAACAAAATTTTACTCAGAAATTCTGTTTCAATAAATGTTTAAATAGTGGGAAAATACTTGTTTACTCATCACACGTGGATTTGAATATAGAAAATGATAGATCATGTTATAATATTATAACAATATAATATTATGGGTAAAACGTTGCAATTTATTATATACTTCTTTAAAAAGCTCGATAATTTTAGACGAATAAAATATTCCTTTCCTTCGTGTACGTTTTCTTAGAATTCTGATTGAAAATAATATTTCAACTAAATGTAATAACCGCCAATCTTAATTCATTCGACGTGCTTGACGTCGGTTGACGTTGAAGCATATTCCACTGTTAGATAGTCGATGCAAATATCTCCTTTATTCGAACGCCAGTGGTCGCTGACGTTTATTGTTCCAAAAATACGTTAACTCTGACACCAATTGCTTCGAAGATTTTGACTCTTCGCCGAATAGCCATTAAATAATCATCCACTAAATTCGCTTACAACGGGTCTGAAACGTTTTTGCACTTCCAATCGTCCATTATCTAAATTATCTTTCTATTATATAATATTACAATTGTCATTATTATAACAACAATGTTGAATGCAGAAATACATTTAAAAAAAATTATTATTGCGATACGAATGGAACAGAATTCGAACCAAGTGATTCTACGATAATAAATATAAAATAAATATAAAATCATGAAATGTATGAAAAAGGAAAAAGCAATGAATAAATTATATAACGCGGACACAGAAATTGAATCATAATATTTTTCGCGACGGAATATGTTTCAGACGGTGTTTGATAAACATGGTTTCCATACAGGAACAGTTGACCAAAGTCAACTCTATTGTCCAGTTAGGGTCACTGAGGGTTAAACCCACCGTGTTTTCGCTTTGCCCCCTTGTCTCTTCCCAGATCCCACAGATCGCTACGCCCTTTTGTTTGATTAGGGACAGAGGGCACAACCACCACCCGGAACACTGTTTCTGTATTAAATATGGACGATAGGCTGCCAAACAATGCGGTTGTAGAACATCGGTTTACCGATCAATTTTAGAGGCTTCGGTCTCAAATTTATAATTACTTTATAAATATTATTTGCTATCAATTTCATTGTTGAATTTGACGCGTGTGACCACATAAAAATACCAGGGTATCCTACTAAACTTGAACACAATAATTAATATCTCGAAATAAAAACAATAATAATAAAATAATATTTAATGCTGAGCACATAAACCAGAAATTCTATATCGTTTTACAACCTACTGAATTTAATTGTCAGTTATCTACTGGTAATCTAGATTAATACACATTTAATTTTTTTCAAATTCGTTTTAAATATTAATATAATGATTTACTAACGAATCGAGTGAAAACTATAATGCAACGTTTTTTTTATTTCTGTTCCAGAACTTGAAGAACCAGATTATGACGACGAATCTATGGGTCGAACAGGTGAGTGATATTAATTTACCTCGATAAAAGTCACAAGGTTGGGCGTTATAGCGACGACCCTCTAAAAAATTTGAAAATGCTTGTTAGTACAGTAAAATTCTGATTATCTGATATATTCGGGACTGGGACAATGTCGAATAATTGAATTATACCTACATATGATGTGATAAAACCGAGGAATATAATCACAGACGAGGCATGCGAGTAGACCTTACATCCAATGCATTTTATCGGCCCATTTTTCTGGGGCTCTAGAGCCCTAGTACCATTTTCATGTCACCCGCAACATTACCAACAGGTTACAGAAATGAGATTTTACAAGAGGAAATGAGACAGAAAATGAAATTACAGAAACATTTCTGGCGACACATTATATTTTCGGTAAAGAATTTTTTTCTCGAAAGTGCGTAAGATTTCGGGGGTATGTCTGATTACCAAAAATATTTGTAATTGACCTCCTCAACCAAAAATAATTTTTATGGAACGATTTGAAATTTTTGAATTTAATTGTTAATAACTTTTTAACGAAGCCTCCATCAACAAATTGGTATTCTTGATTTCCGTGTTATTTTGGCCTCTAGAATGATTTGCAGAATCATTTGAAATTTTTTAATTTCGCCGAAAAATGTCTGCACCTACCCCCTGTCGATTTTTCTTACGTTTGTGATATTTAATAAACACAACCATGGGTAATGTAGTAATACAATTTATTAATAAAAAATAAAATATATAAAATTCCTAAGCTTTATTTGTCAACTGTTTAGTATCAACGTCATTACTGGACGCATGCGGCTGTGACTTTTTTGTTTGTATAAAATATAATCCGTAACATTTACCGAAGAATAGTCAGGGTAAGTATGCTGGTTATTCGGACGTTCCGGATAATCCGGGTGCCGGATAATGGAACTCTACTGTGATTCTAATCGATCTAAAAATAACCCTACAATATTTTATATCAATTCTTCATTAAAATTTATTTGCTACAGACGAATGTTTATTTAATTTATATACGCGATTCGCGTTATCGTACCGCAGGTGTACCCGCAGTTTCAGATATTCTAGCCTCTGTTCAAACTACTCGAGGGTCGCTATTTGTTCGCCGACGCGTACTACATAATTCAATTTCGTCATGAGAGAACGGAAACACGTGAAACAGTTATGCGTATTCAAGACGCTTCGAGACGAACGGGCACGATCCAACGACGGTGTACTTTTTCGAAGTATAAATAAATCGAATACTCGAACAGCAATTCGTTCGTATGAAGTTCCAGGGAAATTGGTCTCGAGAAGTCTGTTGTTCATACATACAGAAACGTGTAAAATTTTTTCTTCGCGATTCAAAATTATATTTTTATAAACTATATAAAATCATCAAGATGTCGAACCTTTAAAATTTATAAAAGTAATTTTTCTAATTTTCTCACGATTTGATGAAAAAAATAAATTAAAAAAATGTCGAGATATCAAATGTCCAGTCCAATGCCTGTAAAATATTGTATTGTACAATTTAAAGGAAAATTCACTCGATATTTTTGAGATATTTGTTAAACAAAATTTTGTAATTGTTATTCTGGAGTGCCACTGTGATTGCAACTCGACTGATAAATAAACTGCTGGTGAATTAGGAGAATTGAAGATGGCATAGCCCGTGCGTGGGAGGCGACAGTCATTTTAGCTTTTTCCTGTAGTTACTCGCAGCGCAGTTACTGTAAATTGCTCCGCCGTGCTATACATAATCTCGCGACTGTATAGCGTTCCGTGCTAGAGCTCCGCGCTAGAAAGAATTGAAATAGAAAAGGACGAGGGCCGCGAGAATAAGGCGCAGTAGCAAATGTAATTAAAGAATAATTAAGCGAGACCAATTAACATCCTTAACCTCGCTCCGCGAGCAACTCGAGAAACGTCTTCAAAGATAAATCCCGCTAAATTCTTCACAAGTACACATGCAATTTACGCTCCTGGAGCTATGAACATTCTCGTCTTTAACAGCAAATTAACTTTCTTTGCTAAAAATGTAACGGATGCTACCACGAATAAGAACTGGCGACTCGCAAACTCTACTTCTACGTTTGACCATAATAAACTTCTTTTTATAAATTATTGTTTTCAACGAGAAAATTTTTTCTGGTCAAAATTAAAGATTTTATTGTGAAACTTTTATTAGTCTTTGTAATTCCCTATCTTTTCTATTTTAGTCCACTTTTGTGTCAGTGTTTCCACTCGTTTGAAATGGCTTGCAATGGTTTGAACAGCGTCGCGAGCCACGATACCGTAATCGTAGCCGTGTTTTCCGTTCCCAGACTACAAATTGCTCTTCGTCGCGGCCAGGGACAGGCCTTCAGCAATTTTTCTTCGTCTCGCGAATCCTCGTCCGTCGAGCAGAATCGCGACGAACACGTCTCCGCGCGACAGGGGAACCCATTCGCAGGCAGATGACGATACATAACCGTGCCATATGGCAAACACTTGCCCGGGCGCAACATTCGACGGAGAAACGGAATCCGAAATCGAGAGAGGACAGGGGAGAGGAGAGATTCAGATCGTTACACGGAGTCACATCCGTCTCTGTGTGTACTTATGCGTGTACGTGCGCTGGAAGGTATTCCGGTCGCGTCTCCCAGCGACACGCCATCCTTCAACGTCGAAACCACCCTCTTTAGCTACCAACCCTCCGACCCGACCGTGTGTGACAACCTAGCAGGTACTAGGCAAAACCGGTTTGCCCTCGGCTAGCACTCAGCACAACGAATACACGCGTAACCCGAAGTTATGGCAAACCCCTTCGTCCGCCTCACAGCCGTGCTTTGTTCTCGAACAACGATTCAAGGCGTTTGGTTCTCTCGAAAACTAACTTCTGTCTGTCGTTTCGTTAATAGATAATAGTCCCTTCCTAGGGACCACTCGTTGCGGTCCTTAAACAGGGAGATAGGTGAAATTTGTTAAAAAATTGTAGTTTAAAAGACTCTGTCGTTGTTTAGAGCTTCCTCAGAGTCCAATGAAGTGGCGTGTTTGAAATTCCAAACGTCGTTTATTGTAGGACATAACGCGTCTTTTACTTTTCAAATATTAATAGTACGAGGGTTTAATACCCTCCAAATTACTTAACTGCACGGAATTTGGTCATCTGGCGACCACGTCCAACTTTACCTCTTAGTACCTAGTTTAACAATAGAAATTGGCATACAGTAAAGCCATTACGCGACACGCATTCAATAATTGGTTTTCAAGGGGCATTTTGGGCCCAGATACCTGCACTCTTGTCATCGCGGACGATTACCCCCGTACGAACCCTCAGTGGTTGGGACTTGTAGTTTAGGGAGGACTGACCCACGAGAGATGGGTAAACTCTGATTTGCTAATTAAAACACCTCCCATAATTGAACTTTGTATTTAACCAAGGACCGAACAGGGCGAGCTGAGAATGCATGAATGCAAGAATGCAAGAGAGCTCAAGATTTACAGGATTAGGATTTCAAGAACTTGTACAAATTGAACCATTTATACAGCGTGTTCGGCCATCCCTGGGAGAAATTTTTTGACTGAGGCTTCGTTAAAAAGTTATTAAAAATTTAAATTAAAAAATTTCAAATCATTCTGAAAAAATTATTTTTGGTTGCGGAGATCAATTACAATCGCTTTTGGTCATTACACATACCCCCGAAATCCTCCACATTTTCCAGAAAAAAATTCCATACCGAAAATATAATTTCAGGCTAGAAATATCACTCCAAAATTTCGTGCGTATCTTTACAACGTCATAACTTCTGAACGGATTGAAGGATTTTAATGTTTCAAACGGAAAATAACCCGTATTTTAGTGAAGAATATGTAAAAATTCTAACAATATTGAAAAAGTTGTTCCTTGACCTCGTAAAGTGAGAAAAATCCAATAAAAATTGTCCAATTTTCAAAGGACTATAACTTCTACAATTCTGAATGTATTTCAATGAAACTTTTCCTGAAGCAGAGCTCATAGGCACCTACAAAAAAGTATAAGACAACTTTTCTGTAGTGCGTCAAACAAAATTACTTAAAATTAAAAACTAATTTTTAAGAAAAATTGCCTAAAAAGTGCCTAAATTTTTCGGTGAACAAAAAAATTTTCAAATTGTTCTGGAAAAATTATTTTCAGTTGTGGGGATCAATCACAATCATTTTTGGTGAATAGACATACCCCTGAAATCCTACACACTTTCGAGAAAAAAATTTGTGTAGGTGCCAAAATTAAAAAATTTCAAATCATTATATGAAAATTATATTTAGTTGCAGGTGTCAATTACAATCATTTTTGGTGAATAGACATACCCTCGAAATCCTGTGCATTTTCGAGAAAAAAAATTCAATACGGGCGGAACTTTAAGGGGCTATTCTACCTTGTAGGCATGAAAAATACGTGTTTCTTTGTGATTTTTTTTTGCGGGTTATTAAAGAGCGATTAATTCCGGATTTTGTAGATACATTTATTATATATTTAGCTATATTTACGAATTTTTGCAACGCATAATATCTATTGATTACGCTGTTTTTGTTGATCATCAAACAACAGTTTTTACGAACGGCACCCGACTGCGTACGTGATATCTTGCGAACAAGTTATTCGAAATCCTAAAACCAACGATATTCTTAATATAGATGAGTGTGGTTATAGCATGAACTAGGATCTTTTCAAAAAAACAAAAAATGGCAAAATGGCAGCTATTTTACGAAAAAATACTGAATATTTTCATATATTTGGTTGCTTTTTTGTTAATAAAAGAAAAAGTATTGCATATATCGCAATTATCCTAGTTCATGCTATAGGGAGACCAGTTCTGAAGATACTGTATAAATTTGATGTTGATATCTTGAATAGTTTTTTAGTTATCACGCACGCAGTGCCGAAAGATGTAGTTTCGAGAAAAACAACTTTAAAGTTTCACGTCTAGTTGTTAAATATACCTACGCGCGGTACATTTCAGCAGGCTATAACTTCGTTAGGTTTCCGAATTTCAATTTAATAT